GGGGCTGGTGCGGGATCGGGCAGTGTTTCGTTCTGCTGTGCATGGGGTCGCTATGAGTCGGAAACGACTCGACGGCACTTAACAACAACAACAACAACATGGCTATGAAGGATACACCTAGGGAAGGATAGTTTTCCTTCAGAAAGAATACTGGCTATATTATCCTCATGCTATTCCTATTAGAACCAAGCATTTTAACTTGCTCCTCAGATTCACTTCACAGAGACTGCAGATAGTCAATTTCAAGTTAAGCAAATGATGATTCAGGGGTGGCAGCCCATTCCAGAGAGTTATTTAGATATAATGGCAGCTGAGAGACTTCTGCTCTGCTACGCAGCCCAATGCCCCTTTTCAGCAGGAAGCAGCTACATAAGAAAAAATCTTCATCCCAAACCCATAAAGCTTTATGAGTGCAGTCTCTCTCAAAAGGGAAAGAGGTAGGGAGAGCTCATGGATTAGAAATTGCCAGGCCACATTCCCTTGTGAATTACCTCAGTCCTACTGATAGTGAAGGAGCTCTGGTAGCATAGTGCCTAAGGCACTTGACTGCTAACCAGAAGGCTGGCGGGCCACTCCTCTGAAGGAGGAAGGAAGATGGGGCAATCTATGAAGATGGGGCAATCTACTTCAGTAGTGATACTGCCTCGGAAACCCAAGGAGGGGTTGCTATGAGTCAGGTCGACTTGATGGCCTGGCATGTAACAACAACTGATAGTGACATAGGGACAAATGTAAGGAATGGAAGTTGTTGGTCATATTCTTTTGTAAATCACTTAAATTACCCCTACTGAGAGGAACCAGAAAACTGGAAAAATTGCAATTAGAAAAATATGTAATTCCCAGACCATTTGTTGCAGGTCCTAAAGTGTCAACCCAGGAGACTCTGTGAGAAGCCCCTTTTGATCTATAGTTAAGCAGACGCCTGGATCAATCCGGAAGGCCAGAACATCAAAAGCTCAGAATCCCAGCCATGTGACTTGCCAATTGTATAGCTACCTCATTCTGTAAGGCACTTGACTGCTAACCAAAAGGTTGGCAGTTCAAACCCACCAGCCATTCCGTGGAAGAAAGAGAGTGCAATCTACTTGCATAAAGATTTACCGCCTCGGAAAACCAATGGGGCTCGCTATGAGTCAGCACTGACTCGATGGCAGTGGGTTTGGTTTTCGTTTTTTAGATAATTGCTGGGAGCTCTGGTGGTGTAGCGCCTAAGGCATATGACTGCTTACCATAAAGCTGATGGTTCAAACCCACCAGCCACTCCTCGGAAGGAAGATTGGGCAATCTACTTCCGTAGTGACACCTCCTCGGAAACCCAAGGAGGGGTTGCTATGAGTTGGATCTGACTCGACGGCAGTGAGTTTGGTTTGGTTTGGTGAGCCAACTGGGAAACATTGGCAGTCCAGCTAGTGTACTATACAGCTAGTTTGGTGTCCCACTGTATAGTCTCGTGCAGTGTTTCATTAAGGCTTGCTCTCTATAACCACCTCTGTCTCTGCAAGCAGTTCTTTCTCACCAGAAGACAAAAACCCATTTGGATTTTGCAGGGTTCCCCTCCTTTATCACTTTGTCTTCCTCTGTCTTTTGTTCAGCCCAAACCAGAGGTCATAACCTGTTTCTGTCAAGTGATGAGTTGTGGAGGGTCTGAGAAGGGGGATGGTGAGCCTGCTTTTTGATGATAGTATTCGGCTACCAAGGCTCTGTCTCCTGGAGCAGCAGACAATTTAGTTTAATGAATTTAGATAGTTCACTGGATCTGCCCACACAGTTCCACTCACCTTCCAAAATGCTTCCAAAATAGCACTAGCTATTGTACAGGAGCCAAAAAGAAATAAACTAAAAGTAATAAATGACAAGGCCCCAGAGATTTCTGCCCTTTCAGAAAAGTCTGGGTGAACTTTTCCAGAAAAATTTTTAAGTCTACAAGAAAGACTGCTTCTTCCTTTCTCATTGAAGAATCAGACAAAGAAAGATGCCACAAAGATAAGTACACATATGCATGAGATGAAAGGACCCAGGTTTCATGAAATTGACAAGACTTTAAAGATGTGCGTAGACTCACTGTTCACAATGATGTCATTTCCACACAGAGTCTCCGAGCTTTTCTCTCCTCAGTCATCAAAAAGACATTCCCAATGTTTGGTGGTATAGCAGGACAATTCCACAGACACAGCTCCACCTCCACTAACTTACAATCAGACACAGACACAGTTACACTAGGAAGGAGACAAGCACCACTTACCCACGTGTGCACGCATGCTCACACACACACACACACACACACACACAAGCACTCACACACATAGTCACAGGGCCATGTTGCCACACCTCCTCACTGCCTGGACCCCTTTCTCCAGGCCTCCACTGAGAACACTCCTCCTCCTCCATCCTCCTCCTTGTGAGCCCTGAGCTGGAGCCAGGTGTTCCGTGGGCAGACCCCTCTGTGGGCTGACAGGCAGTGATTACCGTTGCCAGCCCCACATTAGGAGAGAATTGAATGGGAGAGCACCCCCACCCTCCTCGGGCTCCCCACAATAGCGCCTTTGTGAGGTGCCTCGCTGCTTTCTTTCCCCCTTCCTCACCAGCCTACGTCAGGAGCAGCTCTGCCTGAGGGTAGAAGAAAAGACAAAAGGAGGATCACAGGGCCTTGACTGATCTACCCGACCCTGGGCGGGGAGGAGGGCCTCATTCGGGGAGAAGATTATTCCTATTTCCCTCCTCCCCCAATTAGGATAACTAACTAACTAAATAACTAGGACTCCCAGGGCTGCCTGAGGTAAACGTCCCATAAAAACAGAGTCTTGTCCCTCAGCAGCCTTGCTCCTATGAATATAGAACGTGCGAGGATGAGGCTGGGGTGTGGTGGGGGGCCAGGTGCAGAGATCAGCAGATTCCTAGAGACTGAAGTTCAAGACCCTTCCCCAGTCTGCCTTCTGCAATGCAAAGCCAGAGGCCAGGGTTGTAGGCCAGAAAGGGTTAAGTTTCTGGAACTCCTGGACAGACTTCGGCCAGGTTCTGGGACTAGAGTGGGTGGGGGGAGGGGGTGGTGAAAAGGGTGGAGAAAGGGAAATCTGGGAATCTGGGGAACTGGTAAAACCAAAATCTGCGACAGGGGCACTACCCCTCCTCCCCACCCAAACCGCAGACGCTGTGGCAGCAGGAAAATCAGAGAGGCTCAGACCAAGAAGAATTGTGCAACCCGGCCTGGGGGAGAGCCCAGTGCTGGAGATGGGAGCAGGAGTTTGGCGTGAAGAACAGTCCACTTCAGAGGTGAGACTTAAAGTTCTCACTAAAAACACAGGCACTCAGGCCTCTGGTTTCCACACTAGACTATAATGCAATTAAAATTCATTTCTGGTTCAAAAACCTCAGAATTGAAATTGGAAGCTCTACCCCTGGGCCCCAGTCTCCCATGGTCAGAGGCACATTGCCACTGGTGGTTCTGGGAAGGTTTCTGTGGATGGCGGTGGGTGTGGAGGGAGGCCTCTGCCCAGCCTCCTCATGTGGCGGGTAACCTCCAAGTGGAGGGATTCTACCGCTTCCCCTGGCGCCTCAGTACAATCTGTAACTAGAGAAGTCCCTCCTCCCTCAGCAAAGGGAGCCCAGCCAAGTGTTCAATGTGGCTGAAGGAGTGGGAATTGGGTGGGAGAGGGAAAACGGAGGGTCATGGGGAGAAATTTGATCTGAGGGCTACCCCAAACACACACAGTAGAGGAGCAGTGGATTTTCTTTTTAATACAAAATGTTGCAATACAAAATGATGCCAAGAAGTCTCATTCTTCAGGGCACTGAAGAGATAAGGGAGAGAGGGCAGAGTTGAAAGTCTCCTATTCCCCTCTTCCGCTATTCACACTGATGTCAAAATACATTCTGTTCTCAGCTCCCTGGGGGTTGCTCCCACAGAAGGGTCAGTGCTCTCTAGCTCTGAGCTGTCTTTGACTCGCCTATAACTTTTTGATATGGGGCAGGAGAGGGGGAGTGAACACATAGCATTTTCACTCTTAGCTCTAAGATTTGGAGTTCCATATGGAACCAAAGGGCTATAAGAATTTGGCTTCTATTGGCCAAAAATATGGGATTTGAACCATAACTTGTCCACATTTGGAGAATGAGGAGCAGGAAATTTAGTGGGGCTCGACGGCACTCAATAACAACAACAATAAATGTACAAGGTTGATCGTGATTGAAAAATAAAGCTAGCTCCTCAAACTTCCTCCTCTTTCTTCCTCATCTCCAGCTTGTAGACAATCTGGTAACCATCATCCCAGGCATACAGCTGGCGCTCTCGGGGGTTATAGCGGAGACTGGCGTGGGCACCATATCGGCGGGGGAAATAAGGGAGTGCTGCCCGATCAGGGGTCAGGGTGCCACTGGCATCAAAGGAGCATTGGACGCGGGCCCGACTGGCAGGGCGGGTGTTATAGACGACGTACAGGGTTCCACAGATGACAAAGGCAGCCTCAGCATTCTCTCTGGGACATGGTGTGTCCCATTGCTGCTCTGTGTCCAGTGTCTGTGGGTCTAACTTGGCCAGACACAAGTGCCTGTCATCCTCCTGGGTGGCATAGATAGCCCAAAGGCCCTCCTCATCAGCTGCCAAGTCAATGTATGTGTCTGCTGTCAGCCCGTAAGGCGGGATCAACCCCTCTGCTGGGAAGACTGAACTGTCCACTACTGTTCGGTTTGCCAGGTGGAATTTGATGAGCTGCAAAGTGCTCTCCAATTCTTTACCCCCTCCAGGTCTTCCAGGAGGCCTCCGTGCATAATAGAGAAAGCCACCATATACAAGCTGCCCTGTGCCTACCCAGGGAAAGGGCACCCTGATTCGGGAAGCTTTCCGGGCAGCCATAGAAAGGGAGAAGTCACGCAGCCTTGGGAAGACAAAGGCTGTATCGTTCTGTGTTCCATCTAACACGTAGATCTTGTCTGCTGGCCCCAGTGGATCCTTGGTCCATAGACCAGCTGAGCCACCGAAACGCTTCAGGATCTTCATTGATCTCACCTGAGAGATTGTGTAGCTACAGTCTGGTGGGCAAGGAGAAAAGCACAGGAAAAGAAAAGACAGGCGAGAATTAGATGTCTACAACAAGAACTCCCCCAGGGTGGGCTATGTGATGAAAGATACTCATTTGCCCAGTGGCAATCTTCAGGCAGGTTGGGAAAGACAGGGCACCACAGAAACCTGAGTCCTCAGAAACTCTCCTTTAATGGACCTGCCATTACAGAGATCTCCCCAAAACAGATTCCAGACGCTAGAATCACAGTGGACTGGGACAAGGAACGAAAAGGGAAAGAACCAAGGAAGAAAGCAGGTTCTGGAAAAGGTTAGGGGCCTGCCTTCAGATGACCTACCTGTCAGCATGTCATACTTCTCATTTCTTTTGCCCTTGCCCTTGGTCCCAGGGCCTCCGGGCACCTTCTCATCAATCTCTACACAGGGTAGAGCTGGGTTCTGGGTCTCCAGATAATCAACCTCCCGCTCCAGACGGTCCACTCTCCCTGAGATGGAGTCAGCCTCAGTTCTGAGTGCCTCTCGCTCCTTCTCCGCTACCTCCAGCAGAGGCAGCATCTTGTTCTTGAAGTCCCGCAGCTCAGCTGCATGGCGACTACTCTGGTCTTGGCACTGGGCCAGCCGTTCCTAAAGGGATGGGGGAGTGGGAGGGAAGGCTGAAGGGTTACACTAACTCCCCTGTTACACTAACTCCCCGACAGAGAGGCCCAATCAGGGAGTCAGGAATGGGAAAAGGAGCACAAACTCTGCCAGGTTTCAACATCCCCTTCAGTCCCCACAAAAAGGGAAACCAGATGTTCAGCGATGCAAAAAGCCCAACTCAGACTCACCTAGGCCCCTACCCCATGTCCTGCAGCCCAGAGTCTCTGTAAGCATTGCCTTCCAATCATCTGCACCTCGAGGGCATTCTAAGTGCGCAGAGATGGGAAAGGGTCTCTACATCATACAATTCTCCTCTTAGGAATTAAAATGCTACAAACCTCAAACTTAAAAAGGCAGTAAGCTGCAAATTCTCTGAGAGCCTCCAATTTCAACAGAATCATCAGCTCTATTGAAGTGCTTCCCCACAATCCTAACTCTCACGTCCACTGTTCTTCTTCCCATCTACTCCTAGTTATGAAATATAAAGGTATATTAGCTTTGGAATTGCTCTATGTGGGGAAAGAGGAGGGCTTGCACTTTTGAGGATCTTCTTATTATAAGACAAAAATCTCTGTAGGTTCTTCGAGAACTCTATCTTGCCATCCCCAGACCTCTGACAAACTGGATAAACCAACGAGAGATGTAAAATCCTTCCAGGCTGGGCTAGAAAAGAGTCCCTCACCTCTAAGGCAGCTAGTCGGCGTTCCATGTACTCCACAAGGTGGTGCTGCTGTCCTCGAAGGGGTCCCGACCACGACAAAAGGAGCAAGATGAGAAAAGGAGTGCTGGGCCCCATGGCAGCCTGGAGAGCAGGGCCAGAGTAGTGTGCAGCAAGTCTCTTCCGCTAAAGCCCGCGGGTTAGCTTTGGAGGCGGGATGGGGGCGGTGCCTTCTCTCTTTCTGGATCTTTGGCTCTCTCTCACTACTCCGGAATGCTTTCAGTCTCTTTACAGCCCCTAGCCCCTCCTTTCCGCCTGGATTGATCAAATACAGATGGCCCCTTGCAGAGGAGCCAGAAGCCTTAACCATCTCCCGCCTTGGCTGCAGGCTCCCCCTAAGACAGGAGATGGGAAAAGGAGGTAGCTGTAGGAGACAGAGGCAAATAGGCCCCAGGGAAAATTCAGCAAACTCGATTCCGGTTTTAAGCGTGCTTCTAGTACTGACTTCTTAAGAAACTTGCATCTGTCATTAATCCTTTGTTTTCCAGTAATAGTACAATAGATTGTTTTCTGCCTAGTTCAGTGGAAGCTGGAGGGGAAGACGAGGTTTAAGAGGAGGAAGGGAAAAAAGGCCCTAGTGCTCGTTTGTTCTAACTTACAACTCATTGGCGCCATCTTGTGCTAAGCACCTGGTGTCACTGCTTAATAGGGAAACCAAGGCTTAGATTTCACCCCTTGTAGAAAATGTTACACCAAGCTGGTCAAGTAAGTTCTCAATATGCCAGCTGATTAAAACACAGATCTTCCCCACAAACTATCCAGTTCCTTTAGGGGGCTATCCCAATCTCTTAAGAGAATGTAACTGACAAAACACCATCACCAAACAACAAGTTACTAAGACGTTATAAAATTAATTCTCTGTTGTTTGGAAGTGGGACTGACAGCAGTGCCAATCTACATTAACTTTCCTTTGCCTGAAAGCTTCCAGGTATATCACTTACCAAAACTGGTATGTTTAGCAAGTTCACACTAATTTTACATTCATTTATTCGGGGAGAAAAAGCTAGAAAATATATATGTTGCAGTCTAAATTAAAATAAATATACTCTGACCTTTACATTACAGACAATTGACACTTTCTGTTGGTTATGGTCCAAAAGGATGCTTCTTGTCTGTACATCCCAATTAAGATTCAGGAGCCCAAAATGAATTAATGGCCACTGTAATACACACTCAGCCTGAAACATACATGTCAAAAGAAATCAAACAAATATCACATTCTTGAGAGACAAATTTCTTAGAAGAAATGTTACCCACTTTAGAGTCAAAAGAAATCTGGTCAGAGCTGCTCCTTCTCTAAAAAGAACCATACCTTGCACAACACAGCTTTGAAAGGAGGGAAAAATAACATCTTCTGGTGATGTTTGGTGAAAATATTAGGAAATGAAGTCTAATTACCCTCTGTCAGAATCTTCTGCCTCTTTCAAAGGCCACATCTAAAACCCTGGAAATTCCATTTTGGGGAAGTGTCCCTACCAAGCCCTATTCATTTCTGTTGTGGAAATTTGTATGAAGAATGAATCTGTCTCTGGTATCTACGGATGTTCAGATGCAATGTATTTAGCCACCTTCAAAAATGCCATTTGTCAATTCCCTTAGTTCCCCTATAACAAAAGCCAAAAACAGCCATGTGAATCAGAAAATTTACCCATTTTATTGATGCATTGCAATTGCTCTACATTTTACCATATTATGTAGAAAATACTGAAAATACAAGCTACTTTGTAAAACCAAAGACAAACATTGAATCCAAAGATAAACTATGTTTTACACAATGGACCCTTTTCCCATAGAGTTAGTATTAAATTTTAAATATCTATTTCTTTTGTTAAAATGATTATTTTACATACTCCCTAAGTACATCTGCATTACAAACATAGCTCAGTAATTCTCAGAAACTATCAGTTTCTAGAGGCTTGTTGTAAAAGCATACAACCAGAAAAGGGAGAAAGCAAAAAACGTTTAAATCGCACACAGTAACTAGCATATCAAATACATTTAATAAAGTAGGAATTCCATTGCAATATCAAGGATTCAAAGCAGAAATACTAACATTACATATAATGTACATATAATGTACTGCTACATGTAGTGAGATTATTTTTCAAGCTGAATTGAAACCACACATTATATAAAGTTTAGCAACAAACAACCATGTAGACATGCTGCACCATCCATCAGTTAAAAAGAAAAAATCAAAATAGGAAGCAGGCTCGGGCCATTCCTGTCACTGAGAGGCAATTTCATTTCCTATCCTAAAAACGAACCATCCCAACCAGTGGGTTTTTGCATAATAATGCTGAATTAAACACACATTGCTGTGGTTACTTGGCTAAGGGCAGCCAAACTTAGCCCCTCTAGTGGAGGATGATGGATGAGCAGGCTCAGATTGGCCAGAATAGTTTGAAATGGAGTTCTTGTTCCTGGGGTTGGTATTTCAGCCGAGCACTGACAGTGGTCCTGGGAGCTACACTGAAAACTCTGGAGTGATTATGTGTCCCGATGAGCCTATATTTAACCCTTCCCTATTTCCTCTCTTCTGCTGTACGGGAGAACCTGGGAATGCAAGTTCTCAGAGAGGACTTAAAACCTAAAACCTCCTTAAGCTGGTCTGAGGTCAGGTCACTGTGACCGGGCCAACTGCTCACTACATTCATGGCCTTCCCTCATCCGGACAGGCTGGCACTGTTAAGCCCCAGGATCAGAGTCTAAAGTCACATCAAACACATACACACATTCAGCAGACACAGGTGAGTTTTGAATCTTGGTAAATCTAAAATGCCAATTTGCAGACTGAGACCAAAAATCTCTAAAATTCTTTAAATCTTTTAAATTACTGCTAGTAATGTAATTAAGGTAACAACACAGGCTCTTGGTATTGTCTTTCCTGTAGAGTTAAGACTCCTATCTTAAAAATGGTTATCTACTTACTGGACTGGAGTGCAGGGGTGGGGTGTTTTTGTTTTGTTTTGTTTCTCCCTGCATCTAATTTCTTACAAAAACAACAAATCTTGTCCCTTACAGAGGAAAGATAAGGAACAGAAATGTTTCCATTAGAAACTAAACCTGCGTTTGAGCAAGAACATTAGAATGTGCTTTGCAAAAGGAGACAAAGACCACACACTGTCCAGAAAACTGTAGAAGACTAAAGACAGAAACTATACAAACTGCTTGGTTATCTTGACCAAAATAGTGCTAAAAACGCAACTAAATATAATGACTAAAATATACAAAAAACAATGACATGTTCCTGGTAGGCTGTACTGATTACGTGCCCCATCTTGGAAGCCCTTACTCCTTACAATGAAGAAACTCCAAAAACCTTGACAGCTCCTCGGTGTTTGGCCCGGTACAGAGCTTGCTGACCGGGCTCCATGAAATCTCCCATCTCCATCCTGCACCTCCTTGACACCATCTCTACACAGAACCAGTCCTTGGAATAATCCCCCAAATACATCATCTTCAATTCAGATGGAACACATCTGTATCTCAGGGTTAACCTTCTTCTCCAAAATCCTTTATAGGCAGGAATGTTTCCACCCCCAGTACCCTCTACTTGACCCAGATCCGTGCAGGAGCTGAGAGTACAAGGACAATTTCACAGCTTGAAGGGCCCCAAGAATATACAAGTTGTTAAAAAGAAACCTCAAAAGCCCCAATGACTCAACAGCCTTTGGTTTCTTCTTAATATTCTTCACCCACTAAGAAACCTTTCTGTGAGTTCCCTGTTACCGGCGGCATCACAAAACTCCTCCTCATAGCATGGGGACATAGTAAGCAATACAACAGGCTCTTTGGTATAAACACATCTGTTACATGTTTCTCAACAATAATATTTTACTAGGAATGTCAACTATTTGAGGGAAGGTCTGCCACATGGGAAAAGGGAAAAAAGAAATGTCATTCTAAAAGTGATTGCACATACTTAGAAAAAAAATGCATATTTGATATTGGCTTGACTCCTCTCACCTGCTTCCTGAATTCTCATAGAAGCAAGGTAGCAATACAGAGTGAGAGAGCCATATGGGGAAAACGCTTCTGTGAGAACTCAGCTGAAATTCTAAAATGGAAAGGGTGGCAGTAAGGGAGAAAAGCTGCTGTTTTAATTTTCAATGTCGGCAGGGAAACTGAGAACAATGCATTTACACAACACAGATACTAATCCTGTTCTGATATAAATCCCAGTGAACAGCTTAGGGTCCACGGGGGCTTGCTGGTCCATCCTAAGGCAAGCTCACTGTAAACTCTATTAACCACTACATTATCATATAAGGCACTACAATAAGGGAAGGAGGGAGAAAGGGAAGAGAGACACACACTGAACAACTCCTCACCAGACACACCTGTGCAAAACAATTCCAAGGGTCTCCTCTCCTTGCAGGCAATGCCCCTGCTCATTCAGCACTACAGTAATATGCTCTAATATAATTGCAGTTAGTTCACATACATTCCAACAAGTATCAGTTCATTTTGGTTTAAATACAATGGAGACATCAATCTCATCTCCGGGGTAACACTGGAGGATCAGATACACACTAAATACACAATTCAAGTGTAATCACTACACATTTTGATTACAAATAACATTTTGGGTTAGCAGGAAAAATTGCTTATTATATTTTTCTAATCAATATGTACATATTTAATTATGCAAAATATTAAAACACCACCATTACAAAACTTCTAAAATATTTTTAAATTCAGTAATAAATTTTTAAAATATTTTTTGCAATTCCTACATGCACTTATTGTATAAGTCATAATAAGAGAGCATTCAGTTTGCTGCTGGCATACAAAGAAAGCTACTTTAAAGTATAAAAGCTATACACAACATGTTCTTATCTGGTTTCAGATTCTTCAGCTTTCTCCCCCAAAATATCACATAAAACAGAATGGAGAGATGAGGCAAAGAGAGAGAGGTGTATTATTGAAAATTCATACTAATCTTTAGGCAAAGCTCATCAATGCCAGTATTTCGTAATACAAAGAGACTTAGCGTATAATAAAACCACCACCACCATATAATATAACCACCTTAATTTAATGGCTTTTCTAATAACAAAATTTAGGCTGAATCAGGGAGA